AATAAACGCAGATTACGATGATTGCACACAGGATTTAGCGCGCGCAAATGTCTCATAGAATTATTTTCTTCGAAGTAATAAAATAGTAAAAGTCTCGGGGTGTGTGGCGTGCTGTTCAATGAACTGAATCCCTCTCCCTTAATTCCTTAAAGAAGTGATAAAACAGTCTATCTTTCTTTCAAATTTGCAAACTTTGGTTATATTCTTAAAAATTAAAAATCCGTAGCCGCTATAGGCACAGTCTGATGATCGCTTTAAGCGTGAAACTCGAGTATCTGTAGTTTCTATATTAATTTGTATATATTATAAATCCAAATTAAATTTATTGGGTATGTATGATAATATACCCTTCCATAGCGCAAGTCAGAAAACGGTTCAATAAAGACTGGAAACAATAGCATTACTTAGAAAGGAATTTTCCACTTCACAAAGTATTAATCAACGTATATTGAAAATTGAAGAATAACCTATAAATGCGTTAGGCGGGTAACTGTAAACAGACATACTCGAGAACTGCAACAAACCATAGCGCTATGAAAGTAAAAGATAGTGATAGTCTTACACGGACTTCTCTCGTAAATTGTGTCAGCGATGCATTTTACTCAAACGACCTCGTATGTTACTCGTATGTTCTCGTATGTTACTCGTATGTACTCGTATGTTACTCGTATGTTCTCGTATGTTACTGATACGTACTCGTACGTTACTGATATGTACTCGTATGTTACTCGTATGTTCTCGTATGTTACTCGTATGTTCTCGTATGTTACTGGTATGTACTCGTATGTTACTCGTACGTACGTATCATCGTATGTTACTCGTATGTACTTGTATGTTACTCGTGTGTACTCGTATGTCACTCGTATGTACTCGTATGCTACTAGTACTCGTATGTACTCGTATGTTACTCGTATGTACACTGTGCTTGTATGTTACTCGTATGTAATCGTATGTTACTCGTATGTACTCGTATGTACTCGTATGTTACTCGTACGTACGTATCATCGTATGTTACTCGTATGTACTCGTATGTTACTCGTATGTACACTGTGCTTGTATGTTACTCGTATGTAATCGTATGTTACTCGTATGTACTCGTATGTACTCGTATGTACTCGTATGTTACTCGTATGTACCCGTGTGGTGTTTTAGTCACGATCACAAAGGATAGCGATCTTTTTCTCAAATAAAACAATACTGACGTTGAAGAATACGAGCAATAGATCTTAACAAAATTGAAAACCCAACAAAGTACGAGGTGTTGCGCACATTTCAGGAAACTCTGCCATTTGTCAAGTACATTTTTCTTATATTTTTACTGCAATCTTAACGGCTTACATTGTAAAGCGCTTTAGAATATCTTACAATTTTAGAGATATAATAAATCTAATCTTACTACTGGATAGTTCCGATCCTAATTTTGTACGTTTTTCAAAGGTTTCGACTCAGTTGTCGTAAAATGAGTTTTCAATCTAAGTTTTTCGCGTGATATCTATGATTATGATAATTCGCCGTCAAGGACCGAATCTCTAAGTGTGCTTAGAAAACAGTCATAAGAAAATACGCGCTCTGATTGGTTAAAAATCGTGTTTCTATTAAGCAATTAGATTATGAGCTCGTGATTTCTATCACGTGATAGTTGACGCGGGCGCAGCCTGAGTCAACTATCACGAGTAGAAATCGAGAGCGAATATTCTAATTGTTTTAGTATAACTCGATAGAAACACGCTACTTGTTTTATATTTTTTTAAATAAAACGCAGAGGAGTCGATAGTGTTTATGTTTTCACATTAAACAGAATATTACTTGCTCTCACGAGAAGTCAGCTACTAGTCGATCGTTCCCAGTTTACGTTTTGATTGGTTAGCTTTCTTGTACGGGGACCGGTTCGAGTAGTCGCACTGTAGCAATTTTGAAAAATACAATCAGTAACAATCTTGGATTAGCTGAAACTATTTTTTGTGTGGGATTTCCCACACTTTGTCAACGCCAGGGATATTTATTTATTTATTTATTTGTCCACGAGAGCAAAGCGTTCGTCGCGTGGTTTCTGCTTGGTTTGTAGACTGGGTTCCACTAGCAAAAGGTTGAGTGTTTTTGAGCGGCGGCCATTAGATGTCTGATTACTCTTACCGGATGTTGTTTTTTGGCGAATTTTGACTTGTTTTTGAGATTCGGAGGGAGTCTTAGACCTCAGGTCTTAGTGTTTTTCAGACACTCCCTGCCTTATTTATTTTTGACGTGCCATTTATTATAAGGTGGGTAAACATTTGCTTTCTGTATATGCGCGAAATTCTTGAATGAATAAGGAACAATCAATAAATCAATCATACAACAGTCATACAAAGTTCCAGTTCTCGGACAGAACTTTCTGCGATTACATATCTAAAGTATGTCACATTGAAATTCCTTTGATCATCTGAAAATCCCGACAATCTCTGCGGAAAATGAATTCTATTAAACATTGTGCACGTCGCGACGCGCAGTCTGCAACTATCGGAATAAAATTTACACTTGATTGATTTCATTACTTTTAACTCCCGTCTATTGCTAAAATCATCATATTTATATCAACAACCGAAGTTTTACGGACAGATATAAAATAATGACAAAGCCCAGTATTGTTGATATGTTGCGTGACGGTGCAGTTTCCGTAGACTCACAAGTTTAAAAGGACTAAATGTTTTCATTTGCCTTCAAACTTCAAGCTAAACATTTTCACATTTACTGGTCATGTTTAAGCACAAAAGCTAATTTCTAAAAGTATAATTTACATACAGTTTTCTCAGCTGGAAGCACGAATATTAGCTGACATTTGCAATCGGAGCTGATTTATTGTGAACAAACTCCGTGCAACCAGCGACCGATTCTAATATTTCCGTTTCTATTGCCGTGCCTTGGTTCAGGCTTACTCTTATGGCTTTAGAGTACTTTTCCGAACAATTTTCGACTGGATACAGACTGAATTTTTCATGAAGGGGGGTGGGGTGAGCATCTGCGTAAGAGCTAAGGCTAACTAATCTATTTGTCTCCACTGGAACTAATCAACAAATCCCAGG